ATTTCTAAATCGTATAAGATTTCCAAATCAATTAATATACAATAACCAATAATCCAGAAAGAAAAATATAAAACTTAATAAGTAACCAAAACTCCTAAATCTAAGGAATATGATTTTGCGGAGAGGATTTTGGTTACTTATTAAATTTTATTTTTTTTCTTAGTTATTTAGCAAATTAATCCTAACAAAAATCCTAAGTGTCACTATTTATTTACCTTATAAAATATTATGTTCGTTGCTTCGCTCTCAAGAAACAATTTGCTATCTTTAGCTCTACCTTTTTCTGGATATTTTTTAGTGGACTAAATTTTTGTTTTGACTTTGAGTTTTCACACATATTTGGTAGCACTGAGGCCCTGGTGATCGATAAAATCGTGAAGGAAGTAAAGAAAAAGTTAGAAGAAATCTCAACGGATCAAGTAACAATGAGCCCTAGAGAAAAACCTATTGAAATGACTGGAAGAGAGCCAAAGAGGTCTTCTTCTACAAAAGCATCTCCTCCTCTCTTCGGTATTGAAACACGCCTTGAGAAATTGAAAGAGAAGTTGGATATCAAATCAGACGAGGTTACTCGGGTTGTGGGAGTTGTTGGGATGCCTGGTATAGGCAAAACCACTCTTGCCAAGAAACTGTTGGATGATTGGGGATGCAAGTTCTTGCATACGATGTTTCTAGATGACATCCGCGAAAAGTCAACGTCTCTTGGCTTCTACAGGTTGCAATTGGAACTCTTGAATGGTTTAAAGAGTAGCTATAACAATGTAAAGGTGCACAAGGATACCGAATTCCCACCTGAATCTTTAAAGGCTGAGCTCAGAGAAAGCAAAGTGTTTATTGTTCTTGATGATGTGAGTGATAAGAGTCAGATCGAAGAGATTCTTGGCAAGCGCGAATGGTTAAAAGAAGGAAGCAGAGTACTCATAACATCGAGCAGCATGTCCGCGGTCGAGGGAATGGTAGACGAAACCTATCTAGTCCCGGGGCTGAGCGATAACGACGCGTTAAAATACTTTGAAAAGCACGCATTCTCTGCTCCTTGCGAGCCAAGTTTCATGATGCTTGCAAGAGAGATTGTGGATTATTCTAGGGGGCATCCATTAGCTCTCAGAGTACTTGGTGGTGAGCTTCTTAGGAAGGAAGAGACGTACTGGAAATCGAAGCTTGGAACTCTTGCAAAAAGCCCGATCAGCAACACGATTCAAAATGTCTTAAGAATTCCTTATGACGCTCTTAGAGAAGACCGTAAGGACTTGTTCCTCGATGTGGCATGTTTCTTCAGGTTTGAAGATGAGTATTATGTGAGGAGTTTGCTGGATTCTTCGGTTCATGATAATGTGAGTGAAGTAAGAGAACTCGCGGATAAGTTCTTGATTAACATTTGTGGCGGTCGGCTCGAGATGAATGATCTGATGTACACATTCGCAATGGGACTAGAATCACAATCATCCTCTCAACATTCAACAAGTGGGCGTAGGTTGTTAAACCATGGCGAGATCATCTCTATTCTACGAAACAAACCGGTGAGTGAGATTTATCTCTTTTTTACACATTTGAAGTTATTTCCAAACTAATTTTACATGCTAACTTGTTACATAACTTTCCAGGAAGAGACCAAAGTCAGAGGAATTTTCCTTGACATGTCCGAAGTACCAACTTCGAAGAAAATGAGCTTAGGCATTGACACATTCAAAAGAATGGATGATCTAAGATACTTGAAATTCTTCAACTCAAGTTTTCCTAAAGAATGTGAAGCTGACAGCAAGCTGAACTTCCCCAACGGACTTAACTTCACACTGCAGGAAATCCGTTATCTCCATTGGCTGAAATTTCCGCTAAAGAACCTTCCAGTCAATTTTAAACCAGAGAATCTTATAGACCTCAAACTACCTTACAGTCAGATTGAGCAAGTTTGGGAGGGAGAGAAGGTAATATACATATGTCACCTGTTTGTGGTTAATTGATTAGATAATTGTATTAACAACTGACTCTGTTTTTTTCCTCTGTTTATATCGGCGATAGGACACACCGAAATTAAAGTGGCTGGATCTGAATCATTCAAGTAAGCTACACACATTGTCGGGTTTATCGCTGGCTCGAAAGCTTCAAAGTATGAATCTTGAAGGCTGCACAGCATTGCAGACAGTTCATGAAGAGCTACAAAACATGGAAAGTCTTGAATTCTTGAACCTGAGAGGGTGCACGAGCCTCGAGTCCTTTCCACAAATGAACTTGGCCTCTCTGAAAACACTTATCCTCAGCGGCTGCTCAAATCTTAAGGAATTCAATATGGTTTCAGAGAATCTTGAAGAGTTGTACTTAGATGGCACCGCGATAAAGGGACTTCCTTCAACGATTGGGAATCTCCAAAGACTAGTCTTGTTGACGTTGAAAGACTGCACAGAACTATTGAGTCTCCCAGATTCTGTCGGAAATCTAAAAGCTCTTCAAAAACTAGTACTCTCAGGTTGTTCAAAACTTGCTAGTTTTCCAGAGGTTAAGGAGACCTTGGAGCATTTGAAGACTTTATTACTCGACGGGACAGCCATTAACGAGATGCCTGATCTTTTGCATCGCTTTAGTGTTAATCAAGGCCAAAATTCTTCTTGGTCACACTACGATTTCCGTGAATGGCCGCATGGAATCTTCGGATTATCATCAGTGCAGCGTTTATGTCTAAGCGGAAACGATTTCAGAAGCTTGCCATGCAGCATCAGTTATCTCTACCATCTCAAATGGCTTGACTTAAAGTCTTGTGAAAGGCTCATATCTCTCCCAATGCTTCCACCAAATCTTCATTGGTTAGACGCACACGGCTGCATTTCGCTTGAAAAGATTGAGAGCTCGTTGGCTCTTATGTTGGCGGAAACAGAGCATTCACACTCCACGTTTATTTTCACTAATTGTACCAAAATTGATCAAGTTGCGAAGAATGGTCTCGTATCTTACGTTCGGAGGAAGATCCAGTTGCTGTCAAATGCACTACCTCACCAAGACAAGGTATTGCATCATTAACTCTTACGCTATGAATGGTTATGATGCATAGAGCGGAGCGGATAAAGCGTACCAAAGACAACAATAGTGTCTTTTTTGTTAAGCTATGTCCGCTCTGCTTCCTACACCATAACCATTCACAACCTAATTAGAGTAACAAAAGACTGATTTTCTTTTGGTATTTGAATTGGCAGGGTTCAATACTCGATGTTTTGATAAAAATATGCTATCCTGGTTGGCATTTACCTGTATGGTTCAATTACCGATCAGTTGGGCCAGAGGTATCGAAAAAGTTGCCTCGACATTGGAATGAAGACGGGCTTAGAGGTATAGCTCTTTGTGCTGTTCTATCATTTAAGGACTTCCAAGCTCATAATACCCAGCGCCTCTTAGTTATATGTACTAGTGAGTTCAAAGAAGAAGACGAGTGTTTGAGCCAGTTTAGTTGCATTCTTGGAGGGTGGAATGAACATGGCAGCGATAAACCCCGAGACATCGTTGAGTCTTCTGGTCATGTCTTTATCGGATACACGAGCTTGTTACATCTCAAGAAACATGACAAAGGAGCGGGATGTGTTTCTACAAATGCTTCCTTCAAATTCGAAGTGACCGATGGGACAAAACAGGTTACAAATTGTGAGGTGCTCAAGTGTGGCTTTACTCTTATTTATGAAACCACTGGTTCAACGACTTATACTGGAGTTGAAAACAAGCGTATACAAGAATATTACCATACTGGAAGTAACGATCAGACTTCTTGGGTGCCAAAATCTGATGCTACTCCAAAGGTTGGTGAAGTTATTAGTGATGAATCCATGTCACCTGGGAGCTCAAAAGAAGATGAAGTCATTGATCCGAAATCTCCAAAGAAAGATGAGACCAATAAAGGACAACTTGAAACAAGCTCTTGTGTATCTTCGGAAGATACAGAGGAATCTGATAATGATCAGAGTTTAAGTAATAGCATGAACAACTTATGTGAATTGTTGGAGAAACCTATACGGCTTATTTTTCTTGTGGTTTCCATTTATGCTGGTGCAGCTTTTGTGTTAGGAAAAGATAGCAGAAAGAGATGAAAATCTTCATTAATAATAAAGTATGTACGAGTCATTTTTTATGTAGTCATGGAATTGATCTACACTATTCAAGAGTCTGATGCTAATCTGACTCCTATTTAGCTCTTTAAATCTCAAAATCACTCAAAAAGAGGAATAATAAAAAGCCTAAAATTTTCTCTCAGAATTTCAATTTCTGCTGCCGTAGCTACAGTAATCAGAGCTGTCTTCTCCACGTTCGCGTTGTTGCCGGTCCTCTTTCTCCAGGGCCTCGCCATTGTTGTCTACCAAATGTTTTATTTTCTGTTGATAAAAAAATGCAAATTGTTGTCTTCACGAACGTATCTTCAGGATCGTGATGAACGGTGAACTTGGATAATGATTGAATCGTACTCGAAAGCACTTTCCTTAAAGAGTATTTCGACCCTTATCAATGCCTTGGGTTACACGAATTCCTTGTAGGATAAGACAACCAGAGTTCCCTTTTGTTCTAGGCTAAGATGCAACAGAGACAAATAGAGTTTTTGTGTTTTGTTTTTATGTTTTGACCAAAGATTCAGAATCCTTGGTCTTGTGAATCTCTCACGTCTTTCTTGTAAATTTTTTGATGCAAAGGAACAAGTTTTAATAATGGTTCAAAGGTTGCGACGAACGTTTGCAACCGTTCGTTTAAAAGTAACCATAAACTCAACAATTGCAATGATTCATAAATAACCGCCGATTCACTTAAATTTCCAACATTCCTATCCCATTTAAGTGTAATCTTTGATTCACAAAATCAACAACATATAAGCCAAACTCATGCATAAATGAAAATATCGTAACGATTGAATTAACATCTTAGTGTTATTACACATTTCAAATACCCGAGAATTAGGATGTCCAATGGATTGAATCCTTTCAACTCATTTTGGGTACATGAAGATAATACACACATGAATTCACACACTACTCTAAGTGTTTATCCTTGACACTGTTATAAGCCATGTGTCCCTATCCTTTCACGAGCGTATACAAAGCTAAGTCCAAGCTCTTTGAAGCGGTTGCACTTCACACTCGTATAGGTAGATCTTTTACTCATGCACCTGCAAAATGCATTTTTCCAAAAATCTATTAAGAAGAAAACTTTAGCCTTTCTTTCTCTTGCAGGTGTAAGCACATACCTTGGGATGTTATGAAATTAGTGTTTCAGCCCCTAATGTCTTATTAGAGGGAATTGGGTATCCTATAATTAGAAA